CTCTCTCTCTCTCTCTCTGTCTCTCTCTCTCATCTCATGCTCACAGACATACACACACGCTGTCTCAGGGCACAGGTCAGGAGGGCGGCACACCTCTGAGTCCTCGGAAAATTAGCAAGCCTGACTCTGGGTAATGTGGTGTTCACAGCTCCCGCCTCAGGACACACAGGCGAGCAGATACTCACATACACACGTAGACACACGCACACGTACGCACACGTTCAGGCAGGTGGGTTGAAAGTTCACATGCCCGTTTCTGCGTACGTACATGCCCACGTATACCGTACCCATACACATCACACAGGCACCCATGCTACTTGCCAACATGCTCACATCCCGGCACACGCGCCCGGACGTCCGAGTGGCCGCCCCCAGCCATGGGCACACCCCAGCTGGCTTGTACATGTAGGTGCGCCTCATTCCCCCTCTGACACTCAGCTGCCCATCTTCCTCCCACACTGGGCTCAGCTGGACAGCCAGGTTCAAGGGAAAGTGACATAACTTTTCTCTGCCTTCCGTCCTCTCTGCCTGCCCCTCTCTGCCGGGGCCATAGACAGGAAAGCATGCTTTTCACACACACACTACCCATTCTGCCCCCCAAGCCTCTGCCCATCTTGTCTCCAAGTGTGCAGGGCAGCAAGGTGGGAGCCGCAGCTGGGGACTGGGACGCATGGGATGCTACCTGCCTCGTGTGCACTGGCGTTTCCAGGGCGGGGACTCGGGGAGAACGGGAGAAGTCAGCGTGAGCAGGTTGCTGTGCGCTCTGACTACACCCCGCCCAGCCAGGCTGGGGTCCCCTACCCTCCAGGCTACGTCACGGGGGGTCCTGTATAGGGTTCTCCTATAGAGAACCCCAAGCCCACGGGGATCTGGGGAGAGAGGCCAGCCTGGGGCAGAGATGGAAGGTGACAGACGTTGTTCTGCTCTCAAGTGCTCACCACCCAGAGGGAGAGACAGACACAGAGAAGTGATTAAGAGACCACGTGCTTTGTGTGGTCCTAGTTACACACAGGGAGGCCCAGAAGAGGGGTCCTGACCCAGCCTGGGACGGGAGTGGTATCTAGGAAGTCTTCCTGGCAGAGATGTCCTGAGCGCAGTGTGAAGGATGAGTAGGCCTTAGGCAAAGGGGACAAAGAATGCTCTAGGTGGAGCCTCTGGGGCAAGAAATAGCCCAGGGTGCCCAGACAGGGCACTGCTGCTCGAGGAGTGTGGAGCTGAGAAGGGGGGGCAGGTCCTCAGGAGCCCCGGTGGCCTTGAATGCCACACGGAGTTGTTGGGCACCATGGCCATTCCAAGCAGGGCAGTGGCCAGCCACAGCACAGAGAACGGATGGAGGGACGCAGGGAGGGAGGAGGATGGTTGCGGGCTGGGAGCTGGGGACCTGCAGCAGGGCAGGGGAGGTGGGGGTGAAGAGCAGAGTCCTGGTGCATGTAAATTGGTTACCTGTATGGGTGGGAGAGACAGGTGGCAGGGCCCCGGGGGCCTCCCTGGTTTCTGGGGTGGGGGTCAGGGGAGATGACGAGCCAGCCAATCTCCCGTCCTCCTTATGAGCTGAAGGGTGCTCCCCGGCCCCCCCCCCCCCACCGACGCGCACATCGAGAAAGTGCAGGCCGTCATCACAAGAGGTACAGAGCGATCTTCTGGCCTGACGCTGACATTTGACAGACGGGTAAACTGAGGTCTAGAGAGGGAATTCACTCGGCCCGGTCCCCCTCACCAGGAGTCTGGAGACAGAACCAGGGCCTCCCCCAGCCCACCCCCAGCCACACTGCTCCACGGTAAGCCCTTTCTCTTTTCTTTTCCTCCCCCCACCTTTCCCCCTCACCCCTCCCCTACTGGCTTGGCCCAGACCCCCTTCACGTGACCCTGACACCAAAGAAGCTGAAAACCGGCATTGGCAGCACGGTCATCCTGTCCTGTGCCCTGCTGGGCTCCCCGGAGTTCACCATCCGCTGGTACCGCAACACTGAGCTGGTGCTGCCCGACGAGGCCGTCTCCATCCGCGGGCTCAGCAACGAGACGCTGCTCATCACCTCGGCCCAGAAGAGCCACTCTGGGGCCTACCAGTGCTTCGCCACCCGCAAGGCCCAGACCGCACAGGACTTCGCCATCATTGTGCTGGAGGGTGAGCTGGGGCAGCCAGCACAGGGGTGGGTTCAGGACCCCCTGGGGCCTGGCCGGAAGGTGCCCTGCCCCAGGCTGCCTCCCTCCCCTCCTGATAGCAGACATCCGTCCAGGCAGGTGCCTGGCTTAGTTCCTCCTCCCAAGGGCCCTGTGGGGAGATGCTTTTTTTTTTTTTAAGTTCCCTATTTTTATAGTTGAGGAAACTGAGGCTTCAGTCATTTGCCCGAGGTCATTCAGCTCTGCCAAGAGTCAAGAGTTGGGATCTGAACTCAAGTCTCTTAATCACCGGGCCATCTTGCCCCTGCCCTCCGAAATCGCCAGAATCTTACTATTAAAGGAGTGTTCTTTAGGATCTCAAAGGCTTTCAGTCTCACCAAGGCCCCGGGACTGCCCACCAGGAGTCACTGCCTTTGGCCCCTCCTCTGCCTTCTTCCCTGAGCCCTCTTTTTCTAGCTGTCCTTCTCTCCCCATTCTCTGCCTTTCTTGCCAGCCTCATGGGTTTTTGAATCCTCTCCATGACCGAGGCTTCTTCACAGCAGGCTCTGTTTCTTATCACAGACCTGGGTTTTCACTTGCTTCTCTCTCCCTGTAAAGCTACTTACTACCACCCAGGGTTCCTCACCTGGCACATATGTATGGTTGTCCAGGTTGTTCACTGCACAAAGCGCCCAACCAAGAGGGCCGGACCAAGAGTAAGGACTGAAATCCAGCTTGAATCCCACTTGCCAAGCCGTGAGCCCTGGCACCAGGCTGTGACCACACAGAGGAGGCATCTTTTTCTTATCTGCACAAAGAAGAAAGATACAATGGGGGTTAGCAGAGACCCTATCCTTACCAATAAATTTAGTGGTTTCCGGGCTCCTTTGTTGCTACAAAAGCAACAACAACAAAAACCCCTCAATCCTATTGCTTCCAAGGATTTTTCACTGTAGTAACAAAGGCACCAAACCCAGGCAAGCCCCACAGGTCTACCTGTCACAGCCTGTGGGTCCTCATTCCTAGCTGTGGGACTAGGCATCCCCTTATCCCTCACCCTAGGACAGTGCCCAGTAAAGTGCCGCCCTCCCTCAGCCCCTGCCTCTTCTTGTCCAGCCAGATCCTGGCCTCTCTTCCTCACGAGGAAGCACGGAAGGCAGGCACAGAGCAGTTCAAGATGGGCCCCTTACATCTCTGGGGACTCCCTGACTAACTGACTCCCCACACCGTGCATTTTCTCAGAGGACAGCCATTGATGGCTGGTCCGGAGTAGGGATGTGGGAAATGAGGCTGGTGGGAAGGGCAGAGAGTGGGGAGGGAGGGGCAGCCAGAAAGGGAGAGAGTTCAGGAAAGGAAGTGGTGGCGGGGGGGGGGGGGGGGGGGGGGGGGGGGGTTGAGACGGCTGTGACCCCTAGTGCGGAGTCCCAGGCTCTGCCAGGCACCAGGCTCTTTCCGTATTTTAGGTAAAAGTCTCCCCCAGAAATGGAGCTGGGGACTGGCAGACCAGATTAACGTCAGCATCTTAGTGTGAAATGTGGGTGGGATGTAAAACACCATGTTACATTTGCCTTACCTTCTTCTAAATGTTTGTTTCGGTTTTTACTTGCTAAAGTGCATAACACGTACTTTAATCCTTTACAACGAGCCTGTGTGGAAGGATGGCCAGGGTCAGGAATTACGTGCCTCCTGTTCCATGGAGGAAGGTAGGGCGGCAGGGTTGATTGTCCTGTCCAGGGTTACTGAGCTAGCCGAGACTTAAGTTCCAGCCCCACACATGCACCAGTGCCTCTGGGCAGCAGCTAAGCCTCAAACTTCAGGCTCTTTGCTAACAGGACCACAGCACCCCAGCTCCCACCTGCTGGAATGAGGGCTGGAATCAGACTCTGAGGGTCTGGCCCAGTCAGGTCCTGGTTCCACACGGGGTTCTTGAGCCCCATCGTCTTTACTAATGCAGGGAGGCGAGAGGCAGAAAAAGAAAAGGCGACAGGAGCTGACATTCACTGAGCGCTTACAAAAGCGCCCCGCAAAGCATCTTTAACGCAGTCACCCGTTTCGACCTCCCAGCATCAGTATGAGGAGGGTAGAGTGGCTGTCCCCAATATCTCCATCCTCCACAGATAAGAAATGGGAAGATTCAGAGAAGTTGAGCAGCTTCCCCAAAGACACAGAGCTCACGAGTGGCTGCAGGAGGATTCAAATCCAGGAGTCCTAAATCGTGGGCTGGAGTAATGGGCACGTCACAGGGCTGTGTGGATAGCACATGAGTCGGTGTCCATGGGAGCTCTGTCGTGATCACTGTCGTCAGCATCCGCTTTGTCTCCTCCCCTTCTGCCAGGGCGGGGTGGCCTGGCTGGCGGTCTCTCTGTGGCTCCGTGACCCTCATGGGGGGGGCTCCTCTCTCCCTGCAGATGGCACGCCCCGCATTGTCTCGTCCTTCAGCGAGAAGGTGGTCAACCCCGGGGAGCAGTTCTCGCTGATGTGTGCAGCCAAGGGCGCCCCGCCCCCCACCGTCACCTGGGCCCTGGACGACGAGCCCATCGTGCGGGACGGGAGCCACCGCACCAACCAGCACACCATGTCCGACGGCACCACCATCAGCCACATGAACGTCACGGGCCCCCAGATCCGCGACGGGGGCGTATACCGGTGCATGGCGCGGAACTCGGTGGGCAGTGCTGAATATCAGGCGCGAATAAACGTAAGAGGTGCCTGTCTACATTTAAATATCAGAATAGGCTTTTGAGTTCCTTTGCCATCTCTGTGGTTACCATCATTCTTGTGGTGATTAGTACTTATTATTAACTGTCATTTTGATTTTAGTAGAGGTCTCTCTCCTCTCTTTCTCCCCTCTTCCCTGCCCTCCACAACCCCATCATCCTTGTGTGTGTGTGTGTGTGTGTGTGTGTGTGTGTGTGTGT